AAAGACTTAATTCATATTATTTTAATTGCTTAAAGTGAATTGGGAGTGTGTCGGCTGGGTTTAGGGTCATGACAGTAATTTGAGGGCTCGAGTATCTAGGCGTAATGCATTATGACTTGCGTAAATCGTCGGTATTGGTTTTCAAGTTATTGGGAATTGATTTAGGAGAATGAACTTCAAGATTTAAGCTCTAAGTTGGAAGAGTTGACCAAGTTTGACTTTTTTTAGCATTTGACCTCGGAATGGAGTTCCGTTAGTTTCGTTAGCTCTTAATTTTAGACTTAGGAGTGAGTCCGGATTGTAATTTGGAGGTCCGTAGTCGAATTAGTCTTGAAATGGCAAAGGTTGGATTTATGGGAAATTTGACTGGGAGTGGACTTTTTGATATCAAGGTCAGATTCCAATTCCAAAAGTTGGAGTGGTTCCGTAATGGAAAATGTGACTGGCGTGCAAAATTTGAGGTCAATTGAACGTGATTTAATAGGTTTCGGCATCGGTTGTAGAAGTTGAAATTTCAAAGTTTATTGATTTTGACTTGAGGTGTGATTCATCGTTTCACGGTTGTTATGCGTGATTTGAAGCTTCGAGTAGGTTAGTTTTGTCATATAGAACTTGTCTGCAAAATTTGGCACCATTTGGAGTTGATTTGATATGGTTCAGACGCTTGATTGTGATTTTAGAAGTTCTTGAAGTTTAGTTTTATCTTCATGCGTTTTGGTGTCCGATTCATGATTTTATAGGTTATTTTTATGATTTGAGTGTGCGAGCGAGTTCGTGCTATGTTTTTGGACCTGAGTGCATGATTGGTTTGGAGCCCTGAGGGCTCAGGTGAATTTCGGATTGGTTCCAAAATGATTTTCCATAATATTTGGGTGTTGGTATTGGTATCATCGCATTTGCGATGTTTTTGTCATAAATGCGACAGCCGCAATTGTGAAACATCCATCGCATTTGTGAAGTCTGGGCTTCTAGGGAAAATTCGCATTTCGAAGAACCCTGCTACATTTGCGAAATATTGGTCTTCGCATTTACAAAGTATTGGGTCGCAAATGCAACCTTGACAGGGAAACTTCTGGTTTATATTTGCGATAAGATGTTCGCATTTGCGAACCCCATGTCTTAAATGCAACATCTGCAACCTGTTAAATGCTGAGAATTCTGAGACTTAGCTTCATTTGATATATTTTGAAACCTAGCTTCAATGAGAGGCGATTTTGTGAAGGGATTTTCATACCAAATCATTAGGTAAGTACCTCTAATCAATTCTAAACTATATTTCATGATTTTATATAAGATTTAACATCAAATTCATGAGAAATCTAGGGGAAAATTGGGGAGTTTGTCAAAGTTTTGAAAAATGAAAATTTGGGATTTGAGAGTCGAATAGGACTCGGATTTGAAAACAAAATATATATTTGTACTCGTGAGGCTATGTGTAGTCAAGACCTACCCTTGGATCCGGGTTTTGACCAGGTGGGCTCGGGGATTGACTTTTGTTGACTTTTTAGAAATCTAATAAAAATCACAGCTTTATTAATTAAAATTATTTTCTCTTGCATTGTGTGATGTATTCAAGTCGTCTTTGGCTAGATTGAGCCGAGCGGAGGTGACTTGGTAGAAGAAAAAGCTAAATTTGAGTATTGAGTTAGCCGAATTGAGGTAAGTGTCTTGCCTACGTTTGTTGAGGGAATTTTTCTACCTATTTGACATTGTTTGCTACATGCGGAGGTGATACATATATGAGATGACGAGCGTATATGTATGTGTCAGGGTTGATCATGCTCGGGGAGGGGGTAGATTATGTTATATTTGTGTTTGTTGAATTACATGACCTTCCTGCTTCATGCCTTACTTGAATCTTAGACACTAATAACATAGTATTAAATGTTAGAAATGAAGACTTAGCTTATTATAAGTTGATCAAGTTTGACCGAAATTCTGAGAATATATTGATGTGTCTAATTCGGGGATCTCTATGTGTAATCAAATACATTACTACGACCAATATTCTTGAGATACTAGATTCTATACTCGTATTGTAGATCATTTGTGAGATTTGTTGAAACACTTGAATAATATGATCATTGAGGATTATTAAACTATTGTTGGCATTGGAAAGTTGTGATTGGGATTCGTTTGGAATATCCATTTAAACATCCTCCTTGATGTTATTTATGCTTCCTGACTTGTCTATCATTGATATATATATGCTTGGTAAAGAAGAGTGTAAAGCATGAAGGGTGATGCCGTGCCATTTACATTATCATGTGAGGGAGAGTGTAAAGCACGAAGGGTGATGTCGTGTCATATTATTTGAGAGTAAAAGCACAAAGGGTGATGCCATGCCATATTATTGAGCATAAAAGCACGAAGGGTGATTCCATGCCACATCACTTAAGAGTAAAAGCATGAGTGGTGCTGTCGTGTCATTTCATTTATATTGTGATGCTTTTATATTATCGTGAGATTATGGCATGATGGGTGTTTCCGTGGAGGCGAGGATGAGGGACATGCATTATGTTGTGATATCTGCTTTCCATGTATATGTTCACGTCTTAATCTTGAGCGGTTATTGTCGTATTTATTGACCTCGTGTGACTTGTTGTTATTGTCATGTCCTTGTTCTCTATTTCAACCGTTGTTGTGTTATCCCTATCTCCTACTTGTTTAATTTGCTAACACATGCCTGTTTCCTACTATTATAATTACCTACATGTCGTGTATATCCTGTTGCATTTTTGTATAAGCCCTTTTTCTATGTCAGACATTTATGCCTCTACTTGTTAACTTGTAAAGATCATGTGTTTCCTTCTTATTTGTTACATCTGTACTTAGGCCTCCATCATGCTAGTTACCTGAAGTTGATATTGCTTGTTTTCCAATTGCTGCAATTACTCACATACTTTCCGCCTAGTCTTTTACTGTTGCTCACATGTATATCCTCGTTCATTACTTCTACTTGCGTATTTCCTACTTTGTAATTCCTATTATCGGTATTTTTGTCATCTAGTTGGTTTTGTTATACGTATATTGGGTGAGGACGAGATAAAAGCACAAAGGATGTTGTCGTGTAATTGACTTGATATCTGAGTACATTCCTCATGCTATGAAAGTTATGAAGTGACCGTGTTATTTATCGGTTTCATTCTTAGGAAAGGATTGGTCGAGATATTGTAAGATGCTAAATTGTGATCACTGCTAGTATTCGGTTATTGTTTTGCATATTCGTTTCATGTGTTCTTCTCTCTTATATCGTGGTATAGTTCTATTGCTGATTTTCGGTGCAGGTTTCATCAATGAGTATCTGTAAACTAAAAAGCCTCATCACTACTTCGACGAGGTTAGAAAAGATACTTACCAATATATGGGGTCGGTTGTATTGATACTACACATCTGCACATTGCATGCAGATTCTTGGAGCGGAGCTGCTGGTGATATCGGGTGCTAACTCTGAAGATGTTTCTGCATTCAGATATAGCTGCCACTTGTCCTTAGTAGCTTAGGTTTTTGCTAATCTATTATGTAAATTTCAAACAGATCGTGTAATAATGTGTACTAGCTTTGTAAATTTCAAATCTTAGAAGCTAATGGTTCGTACTACCAATTCTTAGGTCAATTTGAAAATGTTCAAATAATTCTTTACTATTTTCTTATAATCTCATTTGGATTGTATTTTCTGTTAGTTGGCTTACCTAGCGGATCGAGTTAGGTGCCATCATGACTGGTGATTTTTGGGTCATGACTACAGTGACCTAAATCCCCAACACCAGCCCAAACTCCACGTCAATCCATATCCAGTCCAGTAGAGCCCCTCTTACTAATCAAAGCGGCAGAGTTTTGCTTGCAAACGGCCCCGACCCCAAGTCAGATGGTCAACAATCAATTGTGGCCCTTCATCCTCATTGATCCAACGACCATGAACTCACTATCTTACACCCTTATAACTAATTCGGCTCCCTACCCCCCACCCCCAAAAAATACCATCTCTCATAAGCCTAAACACCTCTCATCTCTCCTCACTGTGTATCTGTCGTCCCCTACCACCGAAAATCGCCCACGGCTGTGGCACAACGCAAAATCCACCCAAATCTTCACCCCACAATCCCAAGACTCTCCTCAGTCCCAATCTACCGTTGATTTCACCAGAAAAACCTTCAAAAGCATCGAATAGCAAATCTAGGTTTTTCACCGAAAACCTAAAGTAGTCTTTTTCTCGATTTTCTTTCGAATCTTGGTCTGTGAGCTTGAAAGCGACATCAATCGATTGCTCTTGACAAGAGCAATAGAGTGATGATAGTTTTAACTCATTGCATGAACATCGGAGCTCAATCAAAGCGCTGTTGACCAGTTAATGGCTCTTCAATGACCCAGTTAAGCTCATTTCTGGCTTGATGGAGATCCTTTTATCAGCCTATTGAAACCTAATAGGTATACCTTCCCCTTTTTTCTCATTCCAATTTAGGAAATAAGTGTTCAATGTTTTGTGTTAGCTTTTTACAATAGATTTAATTAGTTTAATTAGTAGAGTTTGTTCTTATTTAATAATCAAATATATTAGGATTAGCATGTGTTAGATTAATTAGAAATTAGGAACGATTGTTCTTGTGTTTGTATGATCGTTTCAATTGTTAGTTTGCATTATATGTTAATTACTGTTTGAAGTTGGTATTGATTGAATTGGGCTTGTCTTCGTAGGCGAGCCAGCCCGTCATTTGTTTTTTGTGGTGTTCGGGTAAGGGTCTGATTTTTGGGTTTTTGTTTGATAACCTTGGGTCATTTTTGACCCAGGTTTGTTTAATTAACTAGGCAGTAAAAATAGGGGTCCTGAGGGTTGACTTGGGAATTAACTGAGAGAGTCTTTTATACCTGAATAGGAGTTTCTAGAAGAGAGTAGAAAAGGGACTCACTAGCAAAAAGAGTAAAAAAGGGGGTCGGCTAGGAGGGACTTGAGGGAAAAATAACAGAATTAAAAGGGTTAAAAAAGAAGTACAATAACGAAAAAGAGTTGTGGGAATATATTTTGTAAAAATAGTACTATTCACACGCATTTCATAGACACACACTCAATTCTCAGTCATCTCTATTCCTCTCAAATACACTCACTCACGCATTTTAGAATAGAGAGAAAAGCATCTAAATTTTTGGGAATTCAAATTCAGATTCAAAAAGCTCCAGAAAACCAAAAACAAAAACAAACAAAAAAATAAAAAATCTCTCAAAGTAATTTTGATTTGTGCTAGACTATTTTGGTTAAGTTCTGGGTTTTCGAGTTGCTTTTGGATTTAAAATCAAGTCTGTTGCTGGAATCTCTGCTGTTTTTTTCTGTTTTTGTTACTGATTTTTCTGTTGTTTGGAAGCTGGACTTCATTCTTCTTCTTCAAACCCTTATTTGGTCGTTACTCTGCTATTGTTGCTTTTAGGCATGTAAATCTTCACATGTTTTCTCCTATTTGAGTCTATGGATGAAACATTTATTTACTTGTGTTAATTTGATGCCTAATGTTCTAGATTCAGCCTGTTTAAACTTCAACTTGCCTGTATTTTCCTTTTGATCAATACCTCATGTTATTCATGTGATTGGGTTGAATGTTGAATTGAAGCTCTGTTTGATGTTTATGAAACTATGAAATTGATTACCACTCATTTGAATTCATATGATTGTTTATATTGAAAGTCATTCCACGCAGTCCTAATTGCTTATTTGAGATCCCAAGAGCATGTTGAATAATAGTGTTCAAACGGGAGCTGTAGGAAGCAGTAATACACAATAGTGTAGTCAAAGGCAAAAGCTCTAAAAATTTCTCTAGGACTATTTGGGCTTTAAGTGCAAAGCACACTTAAAGTGTGGGCTTTAGTTAAAAAAGGCACAATGAAGGAAATAAATAAAAATTTGTATGTATTTCAAGACAAAGCAACAAATTCATTTATAATATTTTCTTTAGCAGTTAATACACTTATTTCTAATTATAGTTATTGTTTAGTGCCGCTTGATTCAAGAGAGAACTCATGGACAATGAGGCGCACGCCTCAGCCTTACACTGAAGTGCAACTAAAGCGAGGTGAAGCGCCCTCCTCGAGCTTTTCTGAGCTTCAGGGCTTAAGCATGCCTTAAATGAGCCTTTGACAACACTGGCTTGCATGTCTACTTGTTTCAGTATTTTCTTTTATTTCCCAGCTTGGTATATTGTATTGATAATGCTTTCATATGTGTGGCTTCCACAAACTGAGGCTACAATCATTCCATTTCTATGTGGATGATGGTCGAGAACAAAGATTGTTGATTTTCCATTGCAGGCTAAGTAGTGTCTTATAGCTTTTGAAAAAATGGTTGAAAAGCAAATGTTTACCACCCTTTTGGCAAATAGTTCATCAGAAATTATGATCGGTCGGTATATGACCTAGCAATGTGTAAATTATGATCCGTCGGTATATGACCTAGAGATGTGTTGTGAATTAGCTCACCTACTCCCACAAGTTATTTGATAGAGAAATTTATCTTGGTTACTAAAGCTAAACTCTTGCTTTAGTAACCTCATCATCATATAGTAACACAAGGATGCACTCTTTCAAGTACAACATAGTGATGTCATCACCAGAATGCTTCTAAAACTATATAGTACTTTGTGATTAATTTTAATGATGTATTTAATTTCTTTTCTCTTGCATTCTTTAAACAGGTGGGGGCACAAACTTCAATCAACACAGTGGGCCTTTATTTTGTTTAAGTTGGGAGTAATTCCTTGTTTCCGCAATTAAGGATTAAAAGCAAACTCGGAAGTATTTCACAATCTTGGATGACATTGAAGGAGCCACTTGGTATGTGGGGTGACAAGTATATCACTTCTAAAGGAATGCTGGAGCATCTAAATGTGACAAAAGACCAGTCTGATTACCTGTGGTATTTGACCAAGTATTTCAAACTTATAAATGAGGTTAGGATCAGACTGAACAATGGTTACTACCTTTAATGTCTAACACTCTTTCCATCACATTTCATATGACAGTATTCGATTGGATGCGGAGCTTGATCTAAACTAAAATGAATACAAGTGCAAGTTATTGACTTGATCCCAATTCACTTTCACTTAATTTGGAGCCGCTTGACAATAGGATTTGTCCAATTCTTAGGATAAAGCTTTAAAACCTCACCGCTTATACCACATTCTTAGGATGACATCTGTACTGGAGTTAAAACCAACTTCAAACACGAGAAAATTCCCGTAGAAGCCAAGCATTTTACATGACCACTCTGGTATCAGCTTGTTGCTAACTTAATATTAGACGTAAAACTAACTTAAAAAATTACAAGCAGGACACTTCTGGTTTAACCAGACTATTCTCTTTCACTGTAGTGCCACTGTTTATATGTGACTCTGTGTGTTTGTTTGCTCTTTTCCCTTTTTACCCCTTTACTTTGGCTTTTGAATCACTGGAGAAATATGATACTTAACCTTTAGTCTGAGGATTTAAAATTTGAGGACTGAAAGGAATATTAAAATATTAAATAAGGAAAAATAAACTTCTTTGAGGTTTGAGGATGGACAGAGCATAGTATCTCTGAGCTTCCAGTTTTGTTATCCTTGCATTTGGTTCAGAGTATGCTTGTAAATATTTTGCCATTAACAATGTCAAGTCTCTTTGGTCGAGAATCTACAAATATACCAACCTTTTTGGTACCTTTGGCTTTTGAGATGAATTGCTCGGTAGGCATCTATATTAATGATGTCGCATGTAATAATGTCACACTCTTAATTTTCTGTTGTCTCCCGGTTCTCCTCAAATCGTGTTTTATATTCCTTTAACAAGTGAATAGTCACATAACACAAAAGTCCGAGAAGTTATCTCCTGTCAAGAATGATTTAGAGTAAGCTTCCTTGCGTGCACCAAAGCTCCTTTGAACCCAGTCTACTGTCCTCTCTTTTGTGGCTGCATCCTTAATCCTGGTAGCATTAGGATTAGAGCTCCTATTTCCACCAGGATTTCCATTCCCAACTTCAAAAATTTCCTCCATACTAATCCTTATATTACTAGGATTAGGAACTCCTTCCTTAGCCACTGAAGTATTCCTGGCATCCTTAGAAATGGAGCTGGAATTTTCCTTATTTATCACCTGCTCCTTCTTCTGAACCTTTTTAGCTTCAATTCCTTGTTGCTTCTTCTGTTGTGCCTTGCTATTATTATCACCCTTGCCATCAGTAATCCTCAGTGTTGGTTGATCAATTTCCTCAACTTCCAGTGCATTAAACTTGTTCTTTGTTGACACTACCTCTGCTTTGTCCTTCCCCTTTCCATTGTCAATCTCCTTCTCCTTTGTAGTATCAATAATATGACCTCTATTATCACGTTAATACTTATTACTCCTTGCTTTCATCCACTCCTGCCTAGCCTGATTTACCATTGGCTTCCCCAAAACTTTACCACTAGAAAGTACCTTAGTTGAGTTAGCTGGAGTACCAATATATTCCTTCTCCTTCACCTTGTCATTACCTTGTTCTTCAGATTGCCTAAGCTCAGGATTGATGACCCAACACTCAGCTTCCTTATGGCCTTTAATCCTTTGAGGAAAATTTGACAGTAAATTCACCTCAACTTTCACCTTAGCACAGCTTGGTCTTGTGTCATTCTGAGTAGCCAAGTCCACATGTAAGGGCCTCCCAATTGCACTAGCTAATAAGAATACAAATTCTTTGCCAAAAAATTTAGGTGACAGATCTTGAAATGAAATCCAGGCTATAGCAACAGGCATTTCTTTAATAGGTTTCCACCAGGGATTCCACTTTGTACATCGCATCTGCCATATCTCACCTTGTATCTTCAAATAAAATGCTGGTTTTGATAATAAATTAATGTAATCTTCTATTAATGAAAGCTTAATAAGGACATGATTGTCCTTAATCAATCCAATAGAGCAATGACCCTTTAATTCACACTGTATAGGAATAAACATACGTAAATCTTGAATAACAGGCTTACCATACGAGAATTTGCCCAACACTGCCAACTGCAGTCCTTGTTGAGCAATGGATTGCCGAACTTCCTGCTTTTTCCATTTAATGATAGGCTCTCCATGGAGATATTCCACTAGTTTTAGGGTTACGTGGGTTGGAGTTTGCACGGCCGCATTTAATACATTAGGTTTAACTAATTGAGCATAGTTTTGGATTATTTTTGGGCTCGTAGATGTTTGGAGGGGCTGTGGGGATGGTTGGGACGACTGACTAGCCTCAAGAAGAGGCTAGCCAGTGGCCGAAGAAGCCATTAATGGCTTCGCGAGATCTTCGTGCTCAGTCGTCTCCTTTCGCCCGTCGCACCTCAAAACGACTTTTTACGCTCTCAATTGAGCTTTTACTTGCATTGAATTGTTATCACTTATTCCTATGAGGTTACTCCTATTGTTTTTTGCTATAATTTTGTTGTCAGTTTTTGATTTATTGCACATGTTACTTAACTAGTGAGTATAACATGACTTGAGCCTCGTCACTACTTTACCGAGGTTAGTCTTGATACTTACTAGGTTCTGACCGTAGTGTACTTATACTATACTTATGCATATTTTTGTGCAGATCTAGGTATTGGAGGCAGCGGACTTAGGCAGTGAGAGCTTACTTGACTACGAGAATTCAAGGTACAATTATATTGACCGTTGTAGCCCCTTGGAGTCCTATCCTTATACTAATACTATCATTTTACTATCCAAACAGTTGTACTTTGAGATATTCTTTTGTATTCCATTAAAACTCTGTGACACTAACTATCTAGCTTTAGGAGAGATTTGATTATAGCCATTATGACTTGTATTACATCTATTTCTGCATTTATGTTAAACTCAGCTTTATTATATCATGTTTTGTGAATTTAAATATTGATAAGTGATAAGATTACCTAGTTTTAGAGACTAGGTGCCATCACGACCCCTGAAATGGGATTTGGGTCACGACAAGTTGGTATCAGAGCTCTAGGTTCATAAGTTCTACGAGTCACAAGCAAGTTTGGTAGAGTCTTGCAGATCGGTACAAATATCCTCAAGAGGCTACAGAACTATTAGGAAAAGTTCACTTCTTCTATTTCTTATCATGCGAATTTATTGATTTTTTATTTTGAGCCTTTGTATTTTTATTCTCTTAGAGATGGTGAGGACACGAGCTTCAATTACTGATGATGCTGACCCTAGTGCCGGTGTTGCTAGAGGCTATGGCAGAGGTAGAGGTGGAGCACGCATCGCAGCTAGGGGCTATGATAGGGTCGCGAGTGAAGAGCCACCAGTAGCTTCAGTTGGGGAGTAGGCACCTGAAGGGCCCGTTGCTACCCCTGGACTTACTTTCTAAGTATGTTTGGGACTTTGGCTCAGGCAGGGTTGATTCCAGTTGCACCAACTACTTCACAGGCTGGGGGAAGAGTATAGACTCTCACTACACATACTTCATAGTAGTGGGCTCATATTTATCAGGCTCCAGGTGTTATACCGGTGCAACCAGTGATTGCAGTTCAACTCGAGGTCGATCCAGTTGTATTAGGTGAGGAGTAAAAGAGGTTAGAGAGGTTCCAAAAGTATCATCCTCCTCATTTTAGTGGTAGGGCTTCCGAGGATGTATGTTTCTTGGATCAGTGTTGCCACATTCTGCGTCTAATGGGTTTGGTGGAGTCCGGTGGGGTCAAACTTACTACTTTTCAGTTGATGGGTTGACATATAGATTGTGGCATATTTACGAGATTGGTAGGCCAGCTGGCGCAACACCACTTACTTGGTCCCAATTCTCTAATCTTTCTTTAGGGAGTTTATCCACAGACCTGCATGCATGAGTTATGCAGCGAGTTCGAGCAGTTGGCCAGGGGAGTATGACTATGTCTGAGTATGCTATGAGGTTTACAAATTTATCAAGTCATGCACCTGCCTTGGTTTTCGCTGATAGATAGAGAATTTGTAGATCTATTGAGGGACTTGTCTATAGCTTCAAATCGGGATAGCACGGGGGTTGGAGACTAACAGATACTGAGACTCCATTCCATCAAGTTGTGGAGTTTGTTAGGAGGTTAGAGCATACTCACATGTAGGAGAGATTGGATAGAGAGGCTAGGAGTGGAAGTGGGAGCATATCATTATGAATTTTATGGTTGGGCTACCATGGACTTTGAGGAGATTTGATGATGTGTGGGTCATTGTGGACGGACTGAACAAGTCTGCACACCTCATTTCATTCATCACTACCTACTCTTCGGAGCAGTTGGCTCGGATTTATCTTTAAGAGGTGGTTCGATTGCATGGTATGCCTGTGTCTATTATCTAGGATCGAGACACTCAGTTTACATTGCATTTTTAGAGAGTCATGCAATATGCGTTGGGCACACAGGTCGTGCTGAGTATGACATTTCATCCCCAGACAAACGGGTAGTTCGAGCGTACTATTCAAATCTTGAGGACATATTGCGAACCTATGTCATTAATTTCGTGGGATAGTGGGAATAGTTTCTACCGTTAGTAGTTTTAGCCTACAATAACAACTAGCAATCGAGTATCTAGATGGCTCCTTATGAGGCCTTATATGGGAGACAATGTTGTTCTCCAGTTGATTAGTTTGAGTCTGAGGAGGCTAGGTTGTTGGGCACTAATCTGGTCCGTGATGCTTTAGAGAAGGTGAAATTGATTCAAGAGAGGCTTCATATAGCGTAGTCTAGACAAAAGAGTTATGTTGATAGAAAAACTTGTGATATGGCAATCATGGTAAGTGAAATAGTTCTACTCAGAGTTTCGCCAATAAAGGGTGTGATGAGGTTCGGGAAGAAGAACAAGTTGAACCCTCGGTATATTGGTCTGTTTGAGATTTTGGAGAGAGTTGGTGAGGTGGCCTACGAACTTGATTTGACACCCAACTTATTGGGAGTTCATTCGATGTTCCAAATTTTTATGATCCGGAAGTACTATAAGGATCCATCACATGTGGTACATTTTAGCTCGGTGCAGTCTGATAACAATTTGACTTATGTTGAAGAGCTCGTGGTCATTATGGATATGCAGGTTTGAAAGTTGAGATTGAAGAATATTGCATCAGTGAAGGTCTAGTAGAGAGGTCAATCAGTCAAGGAGGTGACTTGGGAGACTGAGCATGATATGCAGAGCAGATATCCTTATCTTTTTGGTCCTTCAGGTATGTTTCTAAACTCATTCGAGGATGAATGTTTGCTTAGGAGAGGAAGAATGTAAATACCCGCTGGTCATTTTATGTATTTGAGCCATGTTATCCTTTTTTATGGGTTCTGTGTGCTTATTTATAGTTATGTGACTTACGGGGATGGTTAGTTTGGTTTCGTGGAAGTTTTAGATTGAATTGGAATACTTAGTTCCTAGTTTGGAGCTTAAGTGACAAGTGTTGACCAAGTTTTTCTTTAATGTATTTGACCTCATATCGGATGGTGAATTTGGACTTAGGTTCCTAGGTTGTTTTAGCTCTTATTGGCGAAAGTTGGCAATTAAGGGTTTAGAAGTTCATAGGTTTGACCCATAGTTGTCTTTGTGGTTATCGATATCCGTTTGATATTTCAAGTTTTGGAATAGGTTCGCATGGTGATTTATTGACTTGTGTGTAAAATTTGGGGTTATTCCGAGTTGTTTAGTCATGTTTGCCGTAAGTTCGAAATTCGAAAATTTAGATTAGTTCATTAAGTTTGAATTTAGGTACGATTTGTGGTTTTGATGTTATTTTGTGTGACTTGAGGCCTTGAGTAAGTCTGTGTTATATTTTGGGATTGGCTGGTGTGATTGGGTAGGATCCTGAGTGCCTCAGGTATGTTTTAGATGAGTTTCGGACCATTTGACTTATGTTTGGGGTTGATGATTTTCTGGTGTGCTGGTATTCATCGCGATCGCAGTTGAGGTATTGTGATCGCAAAGTGTGTTTGGTCGCTGGCAATCTTTTCTTCTTCGTGTTCGCGGTGGGGATGTTGCGGTCACAGACCTTGGGGAGCTAAAGCTTCACATTCACGGGAAGTCGTTACATTCACGTAGGCTTAAGTGATTGATGAATCGCAATCCCATCCGAGTCACGTTCGCGTATGGTCTTTTGGAGGCGGCTGATGACTTGTGCTTCGCAATTACGAAGTAGGTCCCGCAATCGTGAAGAGAACCCTTAGGCAAACTTAAATATTCTATTTCGAGGGTTTGAGTTATTTATCATATTTTGAGATTGGTGGCTCGAATTTGGGCATTTTTAAGGGATATTTACGATTTGGATTGGGGTGAGTATTCTTGACTTGGATTTGTTTATTATTCATGATTTCATCCTTGATTTTAGCATTTGATTGAAGAATTTAAGTGAGAAAAATTAGAGATTTTGGCAAAGCTTTTCTAAAATGAAAAATAGGAATTTAAACCTCGATTCGGAGTCGCATTTGGATGAAACTTGTATGGTTGTACTCGTATTCGAATGACTTTTCGGGATTTTGTGTCTTTTGTCCAGTTTTGGGAGGCATGCCCCCGTTGACTTTTTAAGTTTTGATAAAGATCAAAGATTTATTAATTGGAGTTGATTTCTAAAGCCGTGTTTGATATTATTGAGTTGTTTTTGCTAGATTTGACCCGTTTGGATGTCGATTCAAGAGGCAATAGCTTTTTAGAGTATTGATTTGGCTTATTTGAGGTAAGTATCTTGCCTAACCTTGTGTGGAAGAATACCCCTTAGGATTTGGCCTTAATTGCTTATTTGTATTATATGAATAACGACGTGCACATGAAGTGACGAGTGTGTACGTAGGTGTTATTTGTGGATTATGACCGGATTAGACCTTAGGCTATTAATATGCCTTAATTTTGGGATGTATTATATATGAAATATAGTCCATTACTTTGTGTCAATGAGAATATGATCACTACACATGTTTTAGTCGTGGTAATACTTTGTTTATTAAATACCCATCTGTATTTTATCATTTTTATGTCCTTGTGCACCTTGTTGACAAATTATGAACTCATATCCCTGATGAAACTTTGGCATTATTGTTTTGTGATTTAGTGGCATATGTGGGTATATTAGGTGTAGCGATACAAGTGTCTATTGTAAAATTGTCAGGGCGGAGCGATACGGATGGCTATGATACTGTCAGGGCGGAGCGATACGGGTAGCTAATGTGATATTATCAGGGTAGAGCGATATGAGTGGCTATTGTGATATTGTCAAGGCGGAGCGATACAGGTGGCTATTGTAATATTGTCAGGACGGAACAACACATGTGGCTATTGTAATATTGTCTGAGTGGAGTGATCCGGGTAGCTATTTAATTTTTTCAAGGCGGGGTGATATGTGTGGCTATTGTTGTTGTGATAAAAATATGGGCACGAGGGGCTATTTGTGCGTCTTTCTTTGTGATGACTTGTTGTTGAAACTGAGTCTTTACTTGCATTGAATTGTTATCACTTATTTTGATGAGGTTATTGCTATTGTTTTCTACTATACTTTTGTTGTAAGTATTTGATTTATTGCATATGTTATTTGACTAATGAGTATCACATGACTTGAACCTCATCACTACTTCATTGAAGTTAGTTTTGATAATTACTGAAAATCGAATGTGATAGATTCATACTACACTTTTGCATATTTTTGTGCAGACCCAAGTATTGGAGGCAACAGACATAGGCAGTGAGAGCTTACTTGACTGCGAGGATTCAGGGTAGAGCTGCATTACCCACGCGGTACCTTGAAGTCCTATCCTTATATTGATTTTGTCGTTTTATTATCCGAACAGTATTGTACTTTGAGATATTCTTATGTATTCTGTTAGAGCTCGTGACTCTGTACTTTCTTGTTCTAGGAATGATTTGAGTATAGCTACTATGACTTGTATCATCTTTATTTTTGAATTTATGTTAAACTCTACTTTATTATATTATATTTTGTTAATTTAAATATTAATAAGTGATTGACTTAATTAGTTTTAGAAACTAAATGTCAACCTGACTCCTAAGGTGGGATTTGAGTCGAGCCACTGAATTAGCCTATGGTACAATACCATATGTTTTATCTTCAAACTTCTTTAGTGATGGGATCAAAATCATCTAATTTGTTTAGTTTAAGATCAAATGCGTTTATAGAATTTCATGGGGACCAAAAAGCATAATAAGCCAATAACTTATTCTCCATTAACTTGGTGTTTTTTTTTAGGGGGGGGGGGGGGGGAGAAGTGTTAAGTTCGTTTCCGCGTTATGTAAGGGTGAGTATCAGTTGGTTAGGTTCGGTTATGAATATTATCGATTTAGCATATCGGTTATCGGTTTACAAATATGATAAACCGATAACCAAATCGATAAGATATTGGTTATCGGTTAATCGGTTATTGATCATTATCGATTCGGTTATCGGTTTACCCGATAAGATAAATCAACTAAAACAACTTTATATCGGTATAAAACTGTTTTGCAATGTTTCTTGCACCGAGCTAAAACAATTTTATAAAACAACTTTTTTGCAAGCTAAAACAGTTTTATAAAACAGCTTATTTGTAATTGAGAAAGGTATAAAGACAAGCTGTTTTGCAACTAATAGTTTAACACTAAAATCTGCAACATAAAACAATAGAAACAGTTAACTAGTAGTTCAAGCAATGAGTTTAAATTCTTAAAGCTGATTCTACTTCTCTGTGATTTCATTCTTAAATCTGATTTATTTTTAAATGAGGTACTTTATGCTAATAATTTGACACCAACAAATAGGACAAAAACAAACGAAGAAAAAAAAAGTAACAGAACAAAACAGAACAGTTAGAGTAGAGGAAAAAGCTGGAGATAAAAACTATGCAGAACTAAAATCAGACCTCAAGCCATTTTAGCGAAACAGATAATTTCATAAAATAGATAAATAAACGATTCCCACAAAAATCCAATAGTGAATGAATCAACACAATAGTGAAGTGAATCAACACGCAAAAATAAACGATTCCCTAAAAAATCAACACGAAGATTGAATCAAGGCAAAAATAAACAGAGCATAACCCAATAGTGAAGTGAATCAACACAATAGTGAAGTGAATCAACATGCAAAAATAAACGATTCCCTCAAAAATCAACACGAAGATTGAATCAACTGAAGATGAAGATGAAGGCAAGTAGGCAATCGAAGATGAAGATGAAGCAACTAAAACTTACACGAAGAATGAAGATGAAGCTGAAGAATGCGGCTGAGAAACCCGGCTGAGAGTGAAGTGAAGGGGGTGAAGTCTGACCTCTGAAGAATGCGGCTGACAGGCTGAGGCTGAGAAAGAATAGGGAAAGAATGAAACATTAGTATGTATATACTTAAGGGTAAAGTAGTAAATTCGTTAATCCTTATTGGGTTATCGGTTAACCCAATAACAGAATTGCCAAATCGAGCCCGAACCGATAACCCAATAATGAAAAAATTCTAACCGTTATCGAACCGTTAACCCAATAAACCCAATACCAATAACCCAATAAATAATTAACGGTTCGGGTTATCGGTTTTACTCGATATATGCCCACCCCTAGCGTTATGGTTCTCTTTGTAATTAAGAAACGTGTAGGGGATTTGTTTTCTTTAAAGAAATCCAACATGACTCGGTTCTTTTACACTCTGTTTCGATGATTTTTACTCATCATTTTATAATATAATATATTATATCGTTTTATAAATATAATATTTAAATAGATTGTACTGTTTGCTGTTACTAAATAATATTTTTATTGTTTGATTTGACTATATCGTAATATATTATAACTGATAAGTTTACTAAAATAGCGTCAATTGTTTTAAATATTAAATACATCAAGAATTACGCATAAACATAATTTTTAAAAAAAGATCTTTCTACTAATTTATCACCATTTATGTAGTTTGGAAACAAGATCAGAAACCTGAGAAAAGATTAACTATCATTAGCAAAAAATAATAATCATAGAATGATGGAAAGAAAATTTGGAGATTTAGATGAAAAGACACGAACCAATTCTAGAAACATCGAAGAAAACAAAATAGGTCAATATGTTGGAGATTTGAAGTTAACATTAAAAAAATAAAAAATAAAGGGTAAAATAAAATTATGAAGTAATAAACAAGGCATAATTGGAAAGAAAAATAGAAAACAATCACATCAAACTGAGAATATATGGATTTAACAATACAATATTATTAATTTTAAATAAATAATTATAATAAATATAATTTTAGAATAATAATACAATCCAATACAATACAATGGGGGTAACAAGCTGTTTGTGATATCCAAAATCACAAAGAAGAATTAACCCAATTGTCGAATATAATTCACATATATATATAAAATTAATTAATGTATAATGTATATATCAATTAAAAAAAAAGTAAATATTGAATCCAGCGGGCAATTTGTGTAATCAATGATCCACGTCCAGCTTCCGAAACTACATAGGAAGTATATTGTCCCCATTTCCCAAACTCTCTCTATTGTCACCCAGATATTCCAGCTCCCTATCAATACTTGTAGTGCAGCTAAATTAATACTGGAATTATCAATAGTCAATTAATCATAATCGGCAACAGCGACTGACGGTGAGGAAATCGGGATGTGGGTGCAGCTGATTTGTGGTCTAGTCGTCTACAGAGTCGTTAAGCGCTTCTTTTACGACGACGACCTTCTCGACACCGAAACCTCTGACTTCAATGCCCTCTTTTCCGTTGCACAAAGGTATATCACACTAGCTTTAAGATAATGATATGTGTTCGGGTCGGGTCAGCTTGTGGTTCTGAGTTAATCCACCCTTTACCTGCTATAGCCTATAGGTGGTCGTACTATCATTTTTGAACTTACTCCAAATGAGAAATTTAAAGCTAAATTATTTTCAAATATAAAAAGTTAGTTTCTTTTTGGAAGGGTTAATTTAAAAATAGTGTCTGGAACAGAGAGGTTATTTGGTTTCTTTTTTGTGGTCTTTTCCACTGATTGGTGATTTGATGAAAATTCTCATTTCCTTTTTGTGTGAAACTAGACTTGAGAAGATTTATGGGGGTAAGGTTTATGTTGGGCTTCAAATTCCTGACGCTGATTCTGGTTCTCGGCAAAGTATTGATATAGTTCTCGTCACACAGCGGTATGTATATCTAAATACATCAAACCCGAATGTTTAGTATATCTTTAAACAGTTCCTTGGTTATTGCTGTAATCTTAATGCTTTGTGTCTGAGTATTTTTTACACACTAAAGTTGATTTCTCTTTTCTGGTTTTCGATATTCTTTTACTTGTGTTGTGATGTTCAAGCTCAAGAAGGTACCTCAAGGATAACACTCTCTGTTATTAAAGAGTTCTATTTCTCTTCATTAGCATGAAAGAAAATCTGGGGATAATATAAGCTTTTCGTTCTGCAGGGAAGCAGTAGTAATCTGTGTAAAGAATGTCTCGGGATTTGTGGCCGTTGATAAGGATGGGAGATGGGTTTGCACTGGAGGGCATAAACACAAGACCCAGCATATCTCAGATCCTGTGAGCTGAAAATCTTTGTTTTATTATTTGTTTGATGTTAGGGATTCAAACTAGTTGATGTTTGAAAGATTTGGTAGGTCCATCGAATCCTTGCCTTAGTGCCACAAGTTTAGTGAAATTTATGCTTCTACACTTGCACTGCTACTCATGAGGCCAAGTATCGCGCAGAGTTTGTATATTGTGCAAATTTCTAAACGTAAAATTGCTTAATGCCTGTACCCGAGTAATTCTCTTTAGTTCTACATGCTATTATTGTCTCCTTTTAGTCTTCATGACTATGCAAATAAGCTGTCTAAAATTTGTTCGTCATATTGTTCCAAGAAGAGGGGTTGCTCTGATGGGAAGCAACCTCCACTTCCAACCAAGAGGTTGTGAGTTCGAGTTTCCCAAGAGCAAGGTGAGAAGTTCTTGGAGGAAAGGATGTCGGGGGTCTATTTGGAAACAGCCTCTCTACCCCAGGGTAGGGGTAAGGTCTGCGTACACACTACCCTCCCCAGACCCCACTAAGTGGGATTATACTGGGTTGTTATTGTTGTTGTATATTGTTCCAAGAAGAACTATTATCTCTTTAGCTGTTTATATTCGGTTTCATAAAAAGTCTTTAACGGAAAGCAGTGGTGAGATAAATCCCATGATTTTCTACATGTCGAATTTCAAATTGAATATCAAACACCCTCTGAAGAGATAAGTTTCCTTGCTTATGTTTACTGCAGCAGACATTCTTTCGCTGAAGTTAGTTGTCCCATTAAAACACTCTACCAGTTATATCCCCTCTCATGAAACTGTTCTGTTGTTACAAAATATAAACTTGGACCAAACTGCATAGTTATTTTGTTGTTTCTGCGATTGGATGTTGATAGTATTGATTATTTCTACCCCAACTAATGCTGGAGTTGGCATGAACAATTTCTGAAATCCAATTTGTGAAATCTGAATAATCCCCCAACACTTTTTATGAATTACTTCCTATAATTAACTCAAGTAGCAAAAGAAATGCAGTTTGCTTCGTAGAGTCCAGCATTATGCTTCGGATGGTAATGCTTACAGAGAGAAAACAACTCGGAGCTCGATTAATAATATTAAACTCACTATATGAGTTTTCCATATTAGTTTCTCTGAAGAACCAAGTAGGAGTACAATGGTCATCTCTTATTCAATGAATGGGCTTGAACAGTGTGGCAATAAAAGTATCTTCTTGGAGGCACAGCTTTATGCCACTGCTGTTCATATGATGAAGCATATCCCTAAAGGCTCTCTCTGAGAGGAGATGCAACCAGGAGATTAGCAGTTGGCATTTGCTACTGGCTGTTTGATTGTGTGGAGAGTAAGCTCATCTTTATGCAATGGTAGTTATAATCCCTTGTCCTCGCAAAGTTTT